GGTCTTTCTGCCTGCTCCTCAGACTCCTCTCCAAAGCCCCCCCAGCCAGTGTGTGTGCGCTCAGGGAACCCAGGCCAGGTGAAATGGAATCAGGAAGAGAAGTCTGGAGACACAAGATACACCAGACACATCGGGGGAAAATCAAAGTGGATTTCAGTGTGGTGGAAAGAGGGTGGTGTATTTGGAGTCGGCAGTCCTGGGTCGGAAGCTGGTCTCCCCCACTGGGAGTGTAGTCACCTTCCTCTCCTCCGCCCAGAGCCTGCGTTTCCTCCTCCGAAGGTGGTCTCTGAGGTTCTTTCCAGGGGATGACAGATGTAGAGCTAGACCATTGAGTCTGACGCCCTCGTTTTACAGTAGAGGAGACCAAGGCAGACAGATTGAGTGACTTGCCTAGAGCCAACCAGCTAGTAAGTGTCAGAGGCAGGATTTGAACCCGGGTCTTCCTGCTTCCAAGCCCTTCCTGGGGGAAGTCCCTTTCCCTATGCTCTGTCCTTGCTCCCCTCTGAAAAAAGAAGGGGTTGGATTGGCTGGTTTCTGACATTCCTTCCAGCCCTGAGTCTTTGAATTGTGACCTTGGTCAGGTCACTTCCTCTCTTCTGTGAAATTAGGTTAGGTGAGGCAGCCTTTCGCTTGCAGTTCTCATTCTCTGATCCGACGGACCCTCACCATTTGGTCTGCCCTCAATGAAACACCTCCTCGCAGCTACCTGCCCAGGTACGCGCTGCCCTCCTGAGCCCTCTGCCTCCCTCCAGGTGTCAGAGGCCTGTGATGAGGTGTTTGTGGAAGGCAAGGAGAGCCAGGGGGCCCGGGGGGTCCGGGTGGATTTCTGGTGGCGCCGGCTCCGGGCCTCACTCCGGGTCACCGTGTGGACTCCGCTGTTGCCACTGCGAATTGAGATGACGGATACCACCCTGGAACAAATCCGAGGCTGGAGGGTTCCTGGGCCGGCCAATGGGTGAGTTCAGAACATGGCTAGCCAGGGCCTTTCAGGGCTCGGGTTGGGTTGGGTTGGCCAGCTGTCTCTGCAGTGTAGACACTGGGGGAGAAGAGAGGAGGTGGCATCTTACCAGAGAAGTTTCCAGGATATGGCATGAGGGCCAGGAGCTGGGGAGGAGGGCCTCTGGATGGGACTGACTGTGCTGGCATGGGAGGGCAAGATGGCATTCACCAAAATAACTCCCTCCCTTCTGCCCCTCAGTCAGAAGGAGCTGGTGGAGATCTTTTCCCTGTTTTGTGACTCTCCATTCTTGAATAGGAGAGCCGTTCTTGGGCAGCCACAAGGGGCTTGTGTCCATATTCTGACCCCTCCGGAATGCTGGCTCTGCCAGTGGTCCAGATGGACCCCGAGGTCCTTTTTAGCTATGATCCTCTGTCCTCTAGAGCCTTTACCAACATGGTGACTTCTTGTGGAAGTTCCCCAGGCTCTTTCCATCACTGTTAGCAAGGCCAAGTTTAAGGGTGACCTTGGGCAAAGTGCTGGGCTTCACTTTCCTCAAGCTTTGTACTAGGTCATGATGTCTAAGATACTCTCTGTCTCTGAACTCCTTGATCTTGTGATCCTGTAACTTCAGGATTCTTCACCTTTTTTGTGTGTCCTGGAGCCCTTGGGCAGTCTGGTGAAACTGAGGGACCCCTTTTCAGAACCATGTTGTTGGTTTTTTTTAACATTATATTTTTATTTTTTTTCTACATGTACAAAAAAATTTTATTTTTTTTACTTTTTTAAAAATTTTATTAATTTATTTTGATTTATCAACAATCACTTCCACATGCTTTTGAGTTGAAAATTTTTCTGCCCCTTCCTCCCCCCCACCCTCCCCAAGACAGCCGCACAATCTGATATAGGCTTTACATTTACATTCCTATTAAACATGTTTTCACATTAGTGAAGTTGTAAGTAAGAATTAAAACCAACAGGAGGAACCATCAGAAAGATGATACAAAACTCAACAGAAGGTAAAAATAAGTGATAGCGATTCGACTTCCATAGTTCTTTCTTTGGATGTGGACAGCATTTTCCATCCTGAGGCCTCTGGAGATGTCTTAGATCCTCATAATGCTGAGAAGGGTTCAGTTTAACAATCTTAGTCATTGCACAACGTGGCTGTTATGGTGTACAACGTTCTCTTGGTTCTGCTCACTTCACTCAGCATCAGACCATACAAGTCTTTCCAGGTTTTTCTGAAGTCACCCTGTTCATCATTTCTTACAGCACAATAGTATTCCATTACATTTATATACCACAGCTTGCTCAGCCATTCCCCAATGGATGGGCATCCTCTCAATGTCCACTTCTTTGCCACCACACAAAGAGCTGCTATGAATATTTTTGTACATGTGGGTCCTTTTCCCATTTGTTTGATCTCTTTGGGATAGAGCCTCAGAAGTGCTAGTGCTGGGTCAAAGGGTATGCACAGTTTTGTAGCCCTTTGGGCAGAGTTCCAAATTTCAGAACCATGTTTTTTAAAGGCATAAATTAAAACTACACAGCAATCCAAAGAAATGGAGTTATCAAGTGTTCAAGCTCACAGACCTCTGGATTCTTCTGTGTCACCCCTCAGGAGCAGGGAGCAGAGTCAGTGTGGATTAATGGGCAGGAGTAGATACTATCCAGGGGCTGGGTAGGGGTTGTCCTAGAATGGACAGCCTAGTCCGATTGAAGAGGGGCCTGTGGTGTGGGCCAGAGAGGGGCGTTCCGGGCCGCCCTCCTGCACTGACCGCTTTGTCCTTGGCTGGGTAGGGCCCCCGCCGAGCCTGAGGAAGGGGGTGAGGAGGCCGACCGGCGGGCCCGGAGCTGCCGGCTGCAGTACCAGCGTGCTGGTGTCCGGTTCCTCGTCCCTTTCGTGGCCCACCCTCAGGATGGAGGCCGCCATCTTACTTATCTCCTGGGCCCTGACTGGCTGATGGACGTGTCTCGCCTCGTGGGACCCCATGCCCGTGTCCAGGACCCCCGAGTGGCCACACTGGAGGGTGGCAGTGTGCTGGTTGGACGGGAGCCAGGGGTTACTTCCCTGGAGGTGAGAAGGAGCGTGGGGAGAATGGGGCAAGAGGAACAGTGCCCAGGGGATCAGGGGGCCGTGGGGTAGAGCCCTTCCAGGAAGGCTCTCCCTCCCCCTTCAGCTCTTCTTCTTGCCTTAGGTACGCTCTCCACTCTCCGACTCCATCCTTGGAGAACAGACTCTATCTGTGACAGATGAAAAGGTCTCTGTGCTGGAACTTCGGGCCCAGCCAGTCATGACCATTTCATTGGCATTGAGCCGGGGCACCGCCCACCCGGGGGAGATCACTGCAACATGTTGGGCACACACGGCTCCACCCGGCTTGAAACAGGTGAAGTCCAGGGCGGGAGATGGGTGCATGGATGGGTAGGGTCAACCTCCCCCAAATCAGACAGGATCAGGGGCTCCAGAGAGAGAAGGATGGAGTCTAGAGGGGTGGAGGTAGTGGGGGGAGAGGGAGGCCCTTTAGTGACTGTGAAAAGAAAAATGCTCAGGTTAGCCCCTGGCCCTGGGCCCCCTCTGGAGTGTAAAGGAGGGGGCTGAAGGCCGATAGGCGATTAACGTAGTCGTCTCTCTCTCCGCTGTTTGCTTCTCTGTTATCTCGTCTCTTGCCTCTTTCGTGTGGGTCTCTATGTATGTGTCCATGTGGGTGGTAACTGTGTGTCTGCGTGTGTGTCTCTGGTCTCCCATTGCGCGGTGTCTCCCTCCCCCGTGGCCCTGTAGGAAGTCGCCTTCTCCCTGTGGCTGGCCTTCTCGGACCACACCCTGGCTCCAGCAGAGCTGTTTGACCACAGGGACTTGGCCCTGACAGTTTCCACTGAGGAGCCGGGAGCCTTCTCCTCAGCGGTCCCTGGCAGGGAGCGAGGGGTCTTCTTTGGGGGGCTGGTGAGTGGAGGGGTCAATGAGGGGATGCCCCTGCAGGTGGGGCTGCACTCCCCAGAGTCCTGCCGCCGAGGTAAACACCGGCCCCCGCTGGCCTCTGCCACGGTCTGGCTGGGGGCGCCCCCCATGCCCCCTCAGCAGCACGAGCAGGTCCCCCCAATCGCCTCTGCTCCCCCGGTCACTGAGAGCAATGGGGGAGGGGGGAGGTGGCAGGGGCCAGGGGGCGAGGGGGGACTGAGGAGCAAGTTTGAGCGTCCAGAGGACCTCGGGGAGGAGCAGGAGGAGGAGCAGGAGGAGGAGGAGGAGGAGGAGATGGTGAGGGCCCCTCAGAGGGTGACGGACCTGGAGCTGGGCCTCTATGCCCTGCTCAGCATCTTCTGCCTGGCCATCTTCATTTTCCTTGTTAATGGTGTGGTCTTTGTGCTGCGATACCAGCGCAAAGAGCCCCCTGATGCCCCAGCCTCTGGGGGCCCCACTTCCCCCCAGCCCCACAACTGGGTCTGGCTGGGGACAGATCAGGAGGAGCTGAGCCGGCAGCTGGACCGGCGACCCCCCCGGGAGGAGAGGCCCCCGAGCCCAGCCCCCCCTGCCCCAGGGGAGGGAGGCTGCCACTGTGAGGAAGGGGGGGGAGGGGGAGGAGGCAGTCTGGATCCTACCCCACCTCTGGGGACCACCCTGCCCCGGAAGGAGCCCGGGAGCCGAAGGAAGCGGGTAGAGTTTGTGACCTTTGCAGCGGCGCCCCCGGCCCGGCCCCCTGAGGAGCCTCCGGCCCCTGCAGTGCAGTCCATTTTGGTGGCCGGGGAGGATGACATCCGCTGGGTGTGTGAGGACATGGGGCTGAGGGACCCTGATGAGCTGAGAAGCTACATGGAGAGGATCCGGGGCAGCTCCTGACCTCCAGCCCCTTGGCTCTGATGCCCAGCCGAGGCCATTGGGCCCACAGTCCTGGGGGCGGGAGTCAGAGAACACCCTTTCCCAGCTGCAGACATTTCTCTTGTGGGAGCTGACCCGAGTCCTCCCATCTCCCTGCCTGCCACCCCCCCCACCAAGGCCCTGGCTCCCCACCCCGCCACTCTCCATGTCATTGCTGTGGGGTGAGGAAGGGCTGGTGCCCCATTATTTATGACAAATGTTTTATTCTTACATTGGGTACAAAATAAAATGGAAAGGAAATCGGAGCCGCGAGGCAGCGAGGCCTGTCCCTTGTGGTTGTCGCCTGTGGTGGGGGCCTGGCCCTGGCCCTCGGAGCCCTCCCTCAGCTGCCCTCTTTCTCGGGACGGCCGACTGGAGTGGGCGCTGACCGCTCATACCGGTTGGCGATCCAGAGGAAGAGGAGGGCAGTGGCAGCCTGGATACCGGCCAGCAGGAAGAAATAAAAGTCCATCCGACAATTGTTGATGTTTCCTGCGAGGCAGAGAAGACTGAGCGCGTGAGGCTCCCTGCCCCTGCCCTCCAGAGCCCAAGAGGGACCAGCAGAGGCAGGGGACCCAGGTTCAGATCTCTCTTGACGGCACCCACAAGCCTTCAAACTTCCCTGGGTTCCCCCTCGGGGTAGGCAAAATGTGGGGCTGCTCCCTGACTGATCCTCACACCCTTTGAAGGGCTGAGTGAACTTGGCCACCGAATCCTGGGCATCAGGGGCTCCAGCATCACTGCCTCTCGCCCCAGGGGTCAGTCTGGTCTCCCCCTCTTCCCCAAGAAAAGGGGATTCCTTTGGGTTGGATGATGGATGCCCGGCTCATCGCCTTCCCTTTTGAATACCAGATGCCTGGCGGGGGTGAGGGGTGGTGAGGTTGGGGGGAAAGTGTCACATTTTACCATATGGCTGGAGGAGCAGGGTTGGGGCCCTGACTCTGTGGCTCCCTCACTGTGGGATGGAGCAAGCACTTCTTGTTTATGGGGCCTCAGTTTCCCATCTGAGGAGTTTGGACCAGAGACTCTGGACTGATGATTGTCACTGTAACACTAACGCTACATGCAAGGGCATCTGATCCTTCACGTCTGGGGCATTGGGGTTCTAAGGGGATAGAATAGGCAGGGCACTTTAACTGCCCTAACCTCTAAGTTTATTCATGGACCCCCTTCCCATTCACCCCCCCCACACACACACACACACATACACATACACATACACATACCATAATCCATGGGACAGTGCAGCCAGCCCCCTTCTGGGAGGGACAGCAAAGCCACCAGGCCGGAGCCTAGAATCGAGCCGACCCCAGACAGGAAGTAGAAGATGCCCATGATGGCTCCCTGCATAGATCGGGGGGCTTCTGAGTAGGCAAACTCCAGACCTGGGAGAGAGAGAGGGCCACAGATGTGAGCAGGCTAGGGCAGCTGGAGGGTGGGCAGGAAGGAAACCCCAAGCCCAGGCCACAGATGCTAGGAATGGGCTTCTCCCTTAAAACGAAAGCGCTATGCCTGCCCACCTCCCTCACTGCTTCCAGGCTCGGCTCTGGAGAAGAGGGAGAGGAACCATATTTCAGGGCCAGAGCAGAGACCTGGGTCATGGAGCCTCGGAGGACGGCCTGGTTCTGTTCTGGAGAAGGTCCAGGCCTTTGTACTCCCCCAGCTGACTGAGCTAGAATGGGGCCGGCCCATGTTGGGAGCACAGAGGGTGCAGGGAAAGACTTTGGGTCTGGCTCTGTACGAGGACGTTCTCCCTGTTGGACCCAGGGAAGCTCCTTGGGGAAGCACGATGGCTTCACCTGGTGCCTGCATGCCACTCCCCACCAACCCTGACCTGCTCCTCGCTTTGCCTATCATGACAGACACCTTACACAGTCTCCCTGAGACCATGCCTGCTTGTTTTCAGGTGGCCACCTCGGATTTCTTTCTACCCTGCCAGGTGGAAGTGCCTGAGGGGCAGATTAGAGTGCAGCACAAGGTGAAACTGCCTGACAACTATCCCCAGATGGAATAGGTGGTGAATTTTCTCTCCTTGGAGATCTCCAGATGGTAGCTGGAGGAGTAATTGTTGGGTGTATTGGAGATAGGATTTGGCCCTCCCAGTGAGGTCACTTCCGATTCTGAGATTCAGTGGTTCTTTCTTTGAGAAAGCAGGGGTTGCAGGGAGAGCCCCTTTTTTTGTGTTGGGACAGAAAAAAGCTTCCAAAGTTTCTGGGCCTCTGGTTTCAGTCAGCAGTCCCTAGGTGGGGAGCCTTTCTGGCCTCTTTTGGATTCACACTGAGTCATCCATCCAAGGCACCTACCATCCCACCATCCACCCTTCGATGCCCATGCACAGACCCTGATAGGCTCCTGGTCTTGTCTGGGGAAAGGATGAAGGAGGATCACCATGGTACCTGGGATGCTGGCAAAGATCTCACTGATGCCAATGAGGAGATACTGAGGGATCTGCCACCAGATATACATGGGTGCTGCAAAGTACACATCTTGTCCGATGCGCTGAGTCACTGTCTCGTTACGGTGAATGTACTGGAGCCTCTTGGTCTCCAGGACGCCTGTTGGGGAGTCACCAGGGTTGAGAAGCTCAGGGGCCAGGGGCCACAGCCTCACAGCCTCATCATCTGCAATGCTAATTTACCCACCAGTGGGCAGAACCCCACAGCACAGGCCTGCCCCAACAGGGCAAGGGTCTGTGCCCATGGACTGATCGTGTCATGAGAGGAGAGTGTAGCGTAAGGGGCAGCCCCCTCCACTAGCAATCAGGAAGCCTGGGTTTGAATCCCAACTTTGTCATCCTTAGGTATGACTCTGGGCAAGTCAGGTTTCTGCTATGTTGAAGAAGGAGTCGGGTTGGATGCCTGAGAAGGACCCTTCCAGCTCTGACATTCTGTGTTCCAAGGTCCCTTGTAGCTACAGCGTGCTATCTTATATGTCCTAAGATGGCACCGTTTCACTGACATTCTGTATTTTAGGGCCCTAAATGGCTTCTGTGACATTCTGTGTTCTGGGTTCTGAGGTCTCTCTCAGCTCTGACGTGCTGTGTTCTGTGTTCCATAAGCCTTTCTAGGATTGAAATTCTGTGGCCCATCATCTAAACTCCTATTCCGCCCTGGCATTCTATGCTCCATGTTCTAAGGTCCTGTCCAGTTCTGGCACAGTGTGCTCTGGCACAAGGATTAGCAGCTTCATCTTTCCCACTGAGGTGTGTCTGATTTAGCACTAGGGCTTTTATCACCGGCACAGAACAACCTCTATCTCTGCCTTTGACGACTAGATCGGGCCTCAGCTCCCCCGCACTCCACGGGGGCTGTTGGGCTATCGTCCCCTGTGCTCAGTAGGGCCCCCACCCCCCATCCCCTAGAATGACCTGCCGCAATGACGGAGGTGAAGCCAAAGAACATGCCCAGGGCCATCTTCTGGAGGAGTGAGGGGAGTAGCTTCCGCCGCTGCAGGAATGGATCGAGGACGCGGTCCTTCAGGGGCACCAGAATCAGGACCACGACCACGTTGGCCAAAAGGAGCCAGGCTTCTGGAAACTGGGAAGGAGGGAACCAGATCAGCACCTATCGTGGTGCCTGAGAAGCAGAGGGTGGCGGCTGGGGGATTGGGTCAGGGCCACTGCACGAGCTGATGGGACGTCCCCAGGTATCTGGGACAGAGGAGCACAGCGGGGGGGGGGGTGCTCTCAACCAGTCATTGCCCAGATAGAGGACACCAGCTCAGGTTACCGGTTAGGGGAGGTTCAGGGTGCCCTGACCCAGTATAGGACCCCCACCTGCCAGCAACCGCTAGGTTCTCAGAGAGGGAAGAGGGGAAGAAGGCAGACACAAGTGGGGAGCTGAGCAGATGCTTCCTGGGAGTCCCAGGGTCCAGCCTGGAGCTAAGGCTCGCTCTAGCTCTGTGCCTTCCCTGTGCCCCGTAAAGGGCTCTGTTCACAGAATGTGAAGAATAAATTTGGGGCGGGGCCAGGGGAAGGGTGGAGAATTTCCCTAGAAAGAACGATGGATTTTGGAATCGAGACCTGAGTCTGTCCTGGCCCATGCGCTTATCAGCTGTACGAACTTTGCAAAGTACTTGGCCTCTCTGGGCTGTTTGTTTCATCATAAGTAAAATGGGGTTATTAATGCCCCCTACAGGGTAGGCAGGAGGAAGGGCTTTGTACCCATCAGAGCACTGGAGAAAGGGGAGATGTTCCTATGAGTTGAACTGACTGGCCATTTCTGAGCATCCTCAGCGGGAGAATGAACAGGCTGTGTGCTAGGGAGGACTTAGCTCAGTTCTCAAACTTTCTGGTCTGAGGACCCCTTTATACTCTCAAAACTTTCTGCAGACCCCTCCAAAGAGCTTTGGTTTGTGTGAGTTCTGTCTACCAATATTTACCATATTAGAAATGAAAGCATCTTAGTATTATTATGAAAACAGTTTTGACCTTGGGGACCCCCAGGAGACCCTCTCCCTAGCCACAGTCTGAGACTGACTGGACTAGATGGTCTCGGAGGCCTCTTTTAATTCTAGCATTCTGTGCTCTCATTTCTAACGTCTGGGGATGCTCTGGCATTCTGTGTTCTAAGGTCCCTCCCAGCCCTAGCATTCTGAAAGCCCCTTTCAACTCTAATGTTCCATTTTGAAATATATCCAAGGTTCTTTCTATCTAGTGCTGACATTCGGTGTTCCGTGATTCCTTTCAGATTTGACTTTCCATGTTCTAAGGGCCTTCTCAGCTCTAACCTTCGATGTTCTCTGCTCTGGTATTCATGTCCTACCGGACCTCCCAGTTCTGCTACCTCTGCACCCTATCCCCCACCCCTGCACACTGCCCCTCTTGTGGAGTTACAGGAATTGACCCAGGCTATTTGCTGACCTAAGCTCACTTCCTGTCTCCCAGAAGCCTTAGGGAGCTGGTGATGGGTCAAGGCAATGCTGTTTCAGTTCCTGGTCTTGGGAGGGGAGGAGGAGGGTCGGTTAGAAAGGATAGGACTTACTTTTTTTTTAATTTTTGACTAGGCAATGAGGTTAAGTGACTTGCCCAGGGTCACACAGCTAGTAAGTGTTCATGTGTCTGAGGCCGGATTTGAACTCAGGTCCTCCTGACTCCAGGGCCAGCTGCCCCCAAAAGGATAGGACTTTGTCTCACCCTGTAGCTGCTACTGTCCTGGGAAAGCTTGCTGCTACTGTTGCTGCTATTGTCCGAGTGGGTCTGGAAAATATGTGGGATTTGGAGGTGCAAGCCCTGGAGGACGTAAGTGGACTGCATCTAGGGTAGAGACAGAGACAGGCTAGGAGTCAGGGTAGCAGATTTCCACAGATTCACGAGGAGTCAAGAGGATGTTTCCAAGTCCTAGGAAGAACAGTTTGGTACTAGCTGAGAATGGAATAGATTAGGTACACAACGCACAGTAGTAAGTGACCATAGTAATCTAGTGTATGACAAACCCCAAAAGCCAAGATTTTGGGACAAGAAATCACTATTGGACAAAAAATGCTGGGAAAACTGGAAAGCAGTTTGGTAGAAACTAGGTATAGACCAATATCTCACACCAAGATAAGGTCAAAATGGGTACATGAGTTAGACACAAAGGATTATATCATAAGCAAATTAGGGTAGCACAGAATATTTTTTACTGCCAAATTTATGTATGACCAGACAAGAGATAGAAAGCATCATGGAATGTAAAATGGATAATTTTGATTATATCAAATTAAAAAGGTTTTACACAATAAAATCAATGCAGCCAAGATTACAAGGAAAAGCAGGAAGCTGGGGAAATTTTTTACAGGTGGTTTCTCTGATAAAGGCCTCAGTTCTCAACCATATAGAGGCTTGAACTAAATTTATAAGAATACAAGTCATTCTCTTTTTTGGGTTTGTTTGTTTGGGTTTTTTTTGGCTAGGCAATGGGGTTAAGTGACTTGCCAAGGGTCACACAGCTAGTAAGTGTTAGGTGTCTGAGGCTGGATTTGAACTCAGGTCCTTCTGAATTCAGGGCCAGTGCTCTATCCACTGTGTCACCTACCTGCCCCAATTCAAGTCATTCTCCAATTGATAAATGATCAAAGAAAATGAACAGGCAGTTTTCGGAAATAGAAATCAAAGCTACTTATAGTCATATGAATATACATTTCTGCTTTAAATCCCTATTGATTAGACAAATGCAAATTAAAACAGCCCTGAGGTAATACCTCAAACCAATCAGATTGGCTAATATGACAGAAAATAAAAATGACAAATGTTGGAAGGGATGTGTAAAAATAAGGATGCTAGTGCACTGTTGGTGGAGTTGTGAACTGATCCAACCACTATGAAGAGCAATTTGGAACTGTGCCCAAAAGGCTATAAATCTGTGCATATCCTTTGATTCAGCAAAACCACTACTAGGTTTGTACCCCAAAGAGATCAAAGAAAAAGGAAAAGGACCAATACATACAAAAATATTCATAGCAGTTCTTTTTATGATGGCTGAGAATTGGAAATTGAGGGGATGCCCTTCAACTGGGGAATGACTGAGCAAGTTGTGGTATATGATTGTGATGGAATAATATTGTGTAAAGTTATGAGTAGGATGGCTTTAGAAAAACCTGGGAAGACTGCAAAGTGATGCAAAGTGAAATGAGTAGAACCACACCACTTTATATAGTAGCAGCAATATTGTATGATGATCAGCTATGAATGACTTAGCTATTCTAAGTAATACAATGATCTAAAACAATTCGGAAGGACTTGTGATGAAAAATGGTATCCATCTCCAGAGAAAAAAACTGATAGAGTCTGAATGCAGATTGAAGCAGACTACTTAAAATTCCTTTATTATTGCTGGGTTTTGTTTATTTATTTTGGTCTACTTTTTCCTTTGAAGCATGGCTAACATGGAAAGTTTTGCATGACTGCTCATTTATAATCTACGTCAAATTGCTTGCCTTCTCAAGGAATTGGGGGGGGGAGAGAATTTGAAACTCAAAAGTTCAAAAAATGAATGGGGGGGCAGTGGAGCAGAAAGAACACTGTGAGAGAAGTCTGGGGTCCTGAGTCTCTTTCTAGTTCTGCCTCCAACTTGTTTCATGAGTTTGCCTCAGTTTCCTTATCTGTAAAATGAGCTGAAGAATGTCTCTGGCCCTTTGTCTCCTAATCTCAGGGATTTATGTAGTGCTGAAAGGGAGCTTAAGAGATCACCAATCTAACCCCTTCATTTTATAGAGGAGAAACTTAAGGGAAAGAGAAGTCTGCAGTGGAGGGCCCCAGGGATCTTATGCCATTTATCACGTTTATCCATGACTTAGATGAAGACATTGAGGGCATAGCCATTAAATTGGGCCATGGCTCAAAGCCGGAAGGAACAGCTTATACACTGAATGACAGAATGTATAGACAAAAGGGATCTTGACAAGCTAGGAGATTAGGCTGAATCAAATATGATACAAGTTTATAGGAATAAATGTAAAATCTCACACTTGTTCAAAACATTAACTTTACAGGTACAAGGTAGAGAATGCATGGCCAGACGATAGCTCCTGTGAAAAAGATCTGGGGGGTTTAGTGGACCACAAGCTCAAAATGAGTCAGCAACCGAAAGTGGCAGCCAAAACCAGAAAAAAAAGAGGCAACCGTCCCACTAAGCCAGCCTCTGATCAGACTCCATCTGGAGCACATATTGTATTTAGCTTTGGGCAACACATTTTAGGAAAAGCATTACTGAGGTGATGAGTATCCAGAGGAGAGCCATGGGCGTGGTGAAGGGCCTTGAGTCTAAGTCACATGAGAATCGATTGAAGGAACTGGGGCCCTTTAGCGGGAGGAAGAGAAGACTTGGGAGATAGGATGACCATCTTCAAGTATTTGCAGGCCCGTCATGTATGGAGAGACTAGACTTGTTCCATTGCTCTAGGGGAAGTAATGGGTAGAAGGTGCAGAGGCCAATGCCAGCCTGTTATTGGGAAAACCTTCTTAATGATTACAGCTGTCCAGAAATGGAGTGGGTAGCTGTCTTGGGAACTAGTGAGTTTCCCTTTCACTGGAGGGCCAAGGATAAATGACCTCTTGTCAAGGACATTGAAGGGTGGATTTTTTTCAGGTATGGAGCAGACTAGATGCCCCCCCCCAAGTCAGTTTGTAGCAGAGCCTTGGCTCTCAAAAAGGATGTTATATATGCCCGACCCCTCATCACGGCACAACGCAGAGTGTGGAGTCAGGAAGACTCATCCCTCTGAGTTCAAATCCAGCCTCAGTCACTTCTTAGCTGTGTGACCCTGGGCAAGTCCCTTAACCCTGTTTGCCTCAGTATCCTCATCTGTTAAATAAGCTACAGAAGGAAATGGCAAACCACTCCAGTATCTCTGCCAACAAAGCCTCTCACGGAGAGTCAGACATAACTGAAAACGATTGACCACCACCACCAACAATAACCCCCACCATGGGATTGCTGAAGGATAAAACAAAGTGGAGATGAAAGCATTTCGTTGGCATCCAGTGACTCGTGAAGAGTAAGGATATGTCAGTCACCATCCGCATCGGACATTCCAGACTGTCTAGTGAACTGCCTGGCCTCTCCCATTCCTGCCCTGCGCATACCCCTGGACTCTGTCTTGAAAGCTGGCCCTCGGGGGAGACACAGGTGCTGAGCTCCCCAGCAGAGGAGGAAGAGGATGGGGGACGCTCACCTGGAAATACACCATCCAGTAAGGCACCAGGGTTAGCATCACTGGTAAGATCCTCACCAGCACCCGGAAGTTGGTTACATCTTCGTGGTGGGAAGTACTCCAGAAGGACAACCTGCCAGGCAGCTCATCTTGTGAGGGTCTATAAGGGCAGCCGTGTGCAGTAGTCATCATCTCCATCTCCATCATCCCTTCCCCATCCTCATCCTCACCATTCATTCATTCAGCAAACATTTATTAAATGTCTACAAGGTGCCAGGTGCTGTGCTAGGTGTGAAGGATTCAATGACAAAAATAAAACAGTCCCTGCCTTCAAGGACTTACAGTCTACTGGAGGAAAACCACGCGAACACGTATAAGTAAATATAAAATATATGTATTTTAAAGATGGGGTATCGACTGAAAGTATCAGAATGGGCCTTGTGTAGGAGGTGGCACTGGACCTGAGCTTTGAAGGGATCTGGGGATTGTAAGAGGCAGAGGTGAAGAGAGAGTGCATTCCAGGCATCGGAATTTGTACAAAGGTGTGGAAGTAGGAGATGAAATTTAATGTACCACCACCATCTTTTCTCCTGAGCTTCATTCCCATATGAGCGACTGCTTGTTGGATGTCCCACTGGTACCTCAAACTCAACGTTTCCACAACAGAATTCACGACATCTGCCCCCAGATCTACCTGCCAAGTATCCATCCCTTCCTGAAGTTTCCTGTTTCTGTTGAAGGCATCACTGTCCTTCAGTCATCCAGGTTCCCAACCTCATCCATCTTCAACTCTTCACTCTCACTGCATATATCCAATGTTGGCACTTCTACCTTCACAAACATCTCCCTTCTCCCTACTCACATAGGCATCGCCCTTGTTCAGACCCTCACTATTTCTTACCTAGATTGTTGCAATGGCTGCCTTACTGGTCTCCTTGCCTCCCCCACTTTTAATCTATTTTTCACATGACTGTCAATTTTCCAGTTTTTCAATAAAATCCAGTGGTTCACTATCGCCACTAGTGTCAATGACAGATTCCTCTTTAAAGCTCTTCCCAACCTGGCTCTAACCCACCATTCCGGATTCACACAGACTGCTTTCCTGCTGCTTAACAAAACTGGCTTTCTCTGCTCCTCACACATGACTCCCCATCCTGGGTATCTGTGCCTGTCCTCCCTGCCTAGAATTCATTTTTTCTTTACCTGTGCCCCTTAGAACTCTTAGTTTCCCTCAAAACTCTGTTCAGTCACCACCTTCTACATACATGAGGCTTTTCCTGATTCCTGCCTCCCACCCCCTGCCCCCAGCTGCTAGGGCCCACCCACATCAATTTAAATTGATCTTGTGTTTATTTTTGTATATGTATATATTTGTAATGGTTCCACCAGCACCAAAGGGACTCTGGATTGGCCCATGTTTCAGGGAAGTATTTAGATAGATAAGATCCCAAACACTTCAGACTAGGAACTATGAATACATTGTATTCAGGCAGCCCTTGAGAGCTGAGACAGTTGCACTTTCTGTCTTTGTATTCCCAGAGTCTGGCACATGGCAGGTGCTTTAATAAATGCTTGTCAGTTGATTGATTCTTATCCTAGTATGTTGCTTAACCTTTCTGGGACTTGGTTTCCTCTGTCAAATAAGGGATTTGTCTGAGAGAGCCTCAGAAGTACCTCCCAGCTCTGTCTATGATCTCATGAGTCCCTTCTGCTCCCCGGGTCTCACTTTCCAGCGAAGGAGGTCACACTAGATGGTCTCAGAGGTCCCTTCCAGCTACGATCCTGCGGTCCTTGGCATCACCACCTTCATCATCGCTGCTGGAATGATCACCTTACCTGACTAAACAGAGGCAGCATTGAGGACAGCACTTTCGGAAGGCAAGCTTCAGCATGGAGGACACTTGGCTGCCCGTGGGGGGCTTGGTGATGAAAATAGGGCCTGCACAGAGAAAGACGGACAGGGCGAGGCCAACACATGCCACAGGGATGATGTAGCCCACCAGGAAACTGATATTCTGCTGGATGAAGGCCACCAGGAACAGGGACAGAACCGCACCCAGGTTGATGCTCCAATAAAACCAGTTGAAAAAGCATCGGGTGGCATCTCGGCCGAGGTCCATCACCTACCAGAGAGCGAGGGAGGCAGATGTGAGGGGGTGGGAGTTCACAGAGTTTGAAGCCCCCATCTCCAGCTTGCACGCCTCCAACCTTTGTTCCTTGTGATATCGTGGAGACTAGGAAAGTATTTATGTAGCACCTCCACATCTGGCACCTGGAGGTGAGAAGATCTGAGTTCAAATCCTACCTCTGACACCTACTGTCTATACACTGTGCATAAGCAAACCATTTAATCTCCCTGGGCCTCCTTCGTCATCTGCAAACCCAGGCTAAGAATCTCTGCAAGACCCCCCTTATACGGTTACGAATCTCCAAGGAGATCATGTAGGAAAGCCTGTACTGAAATGTCAGCTGTTATAACAGGTAACACCTTGATAGCTCTCTCTACAAATATTGTCTCACTCAATTCCCACAAGCACCCTGGGAAGGCGGTCCTGTGATTATCCCCATTTTGTAGATGATGGAACTGAGGCTAAGAGAGGGTAAGTCATTTCCTCAGGGTCACACAGCTAGTATTTGTCTGAGGCCGGATTCAAACTTAGTCCTTCCTGACTCTAGGTCAGGTGCTCTGTCCACTGTGTCGCCTGTTATCTTGACACTGCTACATGCAGGTACCTTCCTATGCCAGAGAGGAGGGCATGGGCCACATCCCTTAGTTCTTATCTGACCAACTTCCTCTTCTGAGTACGTGACTGTGTCCAGCTATTAATACCAGCCTTCCTACAACCTTTCTACTGCCCCACCTTTTCAGACTCTTAGGAAGATCCCTCCATAAAGAACATGGATCCTTTTGCTCCCTAAGACTAGATTATGGGGACCCTGCTGCTGCTGAGAGCTGGTACACTTCTAATACTATAGCCCCTTGACCTACAGCAACCCAGTGAAAGCATTGTCTTGTTATCTCCATTTAAGAAATGAGGAAGCTGAGATCTGGAAGGGAAATGACTTGCGCAGCTGATCACTGCTGGAGCCAAGATTAGATCCCAGGGCTTCTGACTCCAAGTCTTCAGTTGTTTCCCCTAAAACACATCCTCAGGGTGTTTGGGCCATTGGGATGATCAAATCTGCCCACAAGGGAAGCACTGATGCATGGGGAAGTGTGTTGGCCTCGAAGTCCCAGCTACCTGCATCCTCTCTCTGACACTTGCCTGTGTGACTTCTGTTACATTGCTTCACTGCCCTGGACCTCATTGGCTCCTCTATAAAATCGGTCTTTGCACTTTCTACTTCAGAGGGTGGTTGGGAGAAAAAGGGCTGTAGAAGTATAGTGGGGATGCCCAGAGGGGGCCGTGTTCTGCTGCACTGGGTGTGCCTCACAAGGAGCCGAGGAGGCAAGCTCGGTTTCCATGGGGAGGGATGTAGGGTCTGTCTCAACAGAAAAACACTTGTGCTCTGGGATCCTCGATTGCCCCTGGTGACCAGAGGACTATGTTGAAAATTCTTGGTAACTGAGTCAGCATGAGCCACCCCCTCCGTAGGCTATAAGAAGAGGAGAAATTGCTTCTGCGCTGGACAGATTCCCAACATCCCCAAAGCCCAGGGCTGATGGCGGCACATGGCAATGGTGATCATCAGCATATGCTTGCCTCGGTGAACCCCAGACTGGTTCACTCCCACTCCGTAAACACTCTAGCACCACAAAAATGACAGTTATCATTCTTCCAACCACTGATTATGGTCTGACTTCCTCAAATTTCATGCAAAACTTGCACCATGCCTCACTAGGTTATAATGAGGAAAAAGCTTTATCAAATCTAAACAACTCTAGAAATACTGTTATTAACACTAGTATTTGCATTGGTACGTAAGCAAGTCCTTTCTTTTTCTGAGCTCCAGTGTCCCCATCTGCACAATGACAGGTTTGGCCTAGATAGTCTTCAAGGTCCCTCCCAGCTCTGATCCCCAAAGTCCCACTCTCTCTTTTCCCACTGGCTCTTGAATTGGTCTCTGATAGAACTTTTAGGCTAATACCTGCCACCACTGGTTACAGATTCATAATTCCTTAGAGATTTGCTTAAGTCCTTGGGTTTGGTTTAAACTACCCAGGGACATTCAGTGCCAGACTGCAGGTTGGATCCATCCAGAGAGAATCTAGCTAATAGCTCTGGAATGACTTCCGTTCTAGACACTATTTTCAGAAAGACAGGAAAGAGCTGGGGGAACAGTTGAAGAAGGTGGCCAGGAACAGGCCCAGGTCTATAAGGTCCTAAACAGATCATAGGAGGAACCAAGGATATTTAGCCCAGAGAAGAGAAGACTTGGAAGGGATGTGATTGCTGTCTTCAAGTATCTGAAGGACTGTCCTTTGGAAGAAGGATCAGCATTGTTCTGCCTGGCCCCAGAAGACAGTAAAGGAGAGTGTGAAAAGAGGCAGATTTAGGCTGGCTGTTAGGAAGAACGGGCTGCTCCTCAGAAGCAGCGCAGAGGGGACTGGGCTGCTTTGGGGGATGGTGGATTTCTCTTCAGTGGAGCTCTTCAAGTGAATGTGCTGCAGAAGGGTTGCTCGGTCAGGCACAGACTGGGTTAGATGTCCCCTGAGGTCACACTCAAATTCCATATTCTCTCCTGCCAATTTCCAGTGCCGCATGTGACATATGTGACATAGCGTTGAAGAACACGTGCTTTGGGCTGACTAAGCAGCCTTCTTCTGGGTCCCTCAGTCTTGTGACAGCAGTAAGGGCTGCATTGAGCAACCCGCTCAGAAGATTTTAAATGAAGGGAGAATTTCTGCTCTTGTTTTCTTGTTCTTTCCTCCAGAAAGTAGGATTCTCTCCTCTCTCTGTCTCTATCTCTCCTCTCTATCTCTCTCTGTCTCTTTCTGTTTCTGTCTCTCTGTGTCTGTCTGTCTCTCCCTCTCCAGCTTTCCTTTCATTTCTATCTCTTCTATTCCTCCCTCCCTCCCTTCTCTCTCTCTCTCTCTCCTTCTCTCTCTCCCCATTCCTCCCTTAATTTCTCTCTCTTCTATCTCTCCCTCTCTCTCCCTCCCTTCTCTCGCTCTGTCTCTCCATCTTCCCTTCATTTCTCTCTCTTCTATCCCTCCCTCCCTTCTCTCTCTCAGTTTGTTCATCTCTGTCTCTCTCCCTCCTCTCATTTCTATCTCATCTATCCTTCCCTTTCTCTCTCCCTTCTTCCCTTCTCTTTCTCACCACTCATGGGGGAGAGGAGCGCCTATGGCCATTGCTCACATATGGTAGCCAGAGCATGTTCTTGGCAGTGCATGTGAGCTAGGTGAGCCTGAGTGGAGAATTAGAGGCCCGAAATGCCTCTTCCACTTTGTGTTTCTTTCCCTGCACATAGGTGACCAAACAGTGAGCCACAGATGGAGGTTTCCAGCCTGGGAGGCAACTTCTTGGGTTCAAGGAGCTCCCGGGTCCCTCATTCAGTGCTGGACATGCTAGGTGAGATGCTTCCTGTAACTACTACAATGCTCTTTAGAGGAGAAGATGGCCATCCATAGCCTCGCTAAAAGACATGGACTTTAAGGGATTTGGGCAGTAACACTGAGATGAGATCAAAGTGAAATGTCTATTCACCAATCTAATTAAGTGTTTGTTGTTTTAATATTGTAATTATCAGCCTCCCAGAAAAGTATATAGGTTGCTGTATAGGCATTAGAGGTTATGGTATCTTGTTTTACTGAATCACGTTTTGAGGCATTTGAGTGGCACAGTGGATAAAACATTGGACCTGGAGTCAGGAAGATCTGAGTTCAAATGTGCCTGAGGCACTAGCTGTGGGACCCTGGGCAAGTCATTTAACTTGTCTTCCTCAGTCTCCTCAACTGTAAAATGGGAATAATAACAGTATCTACCTCACAGGGTTGTTGTGAGGATCAGACGAGATGGTATGTACAAAGTGCTTAGCATAATGCCTGGCACAGAGTAGGCGTCCTATAAATGCTTATTCCCTTCTCCCCCATTTAAGTCTTGGTCGATGTGTACTTATGAATCTTTTGTGTTATAAGCAGTCTTGTATTTGTGAAAAAGTAGTTGTCCTATACCTGACTTATATTGTATATTGAGTATCTTTTACCTCCCTTTTGGGGAAAGCCTGGATATGAAGCAAACTTGAGTGATTTCCCCGGGCACAGGCTCAGGAGCCAGAGACCAAGAAAGAGCCAGACCTCTCTCTTTAGAGGTCAAGCTTCCCTAGGGCTGAGCTGAGCTTGAATGATCCCAGATGGACCTCTAGTGAGAGAGGGTGAGTCTCCCAGTTCTCACTTCCCCCACCTTCCTGGAGTGGACCCATTGTTACACTGATGCACACTAATAATTATTCCATTCAAAAGCTGGGGCCATATTTGCAACAGGTCTTCAGGCCTATTGGTTCACCTCTAAAATCTCTATGCTGCCGAAGACTACTTCCTGATATTCCTGAGCCAGTTCAGAAGGGGGAAGACCCTAGCCCTTTCCTTCAACCCCGTTCTTATCTCAGAGAGACAGGTTGCTATTATCTAGCACGTCATAGCCTAGTGGGTCTCCCGTGGCCCAGAAAAAGGGAGCAACTCACCCAGAGCTACACAGCAAAGCACTAATGGCAGAGGAGAGAACTAGAATTTATAGGGTCTGACTACTGGGGAAATTTTACTGGTCCCCCCCCCCCTCTCTTGACTTAACAGAAGAGTTCTGGGCATGCTGAGTGTTCCGGGCCTGGAAGCCAAGGCTTCAGAATATCCATCTTTGTTCAATACTTCCTCCTTCCTGTCTTTGGCTTTGCTCCAGGAGTCTGACAAAGTGATTCTTACCACACTGACCTCTGATACAGCTCATCTCTGAGCTCAGGATGTCTTCTCATGTTCTCTCTCTCTCTCTCTCTCTCTCTCTCTCTCTCTCTCTCTCTCTCTCTCTCTGTCTCCCTCTTTGTCTCTATCTCTTTCTGTCTCTCCCTCTCTCTGTCTCTGTCTCTCTATCTCTCTATCTTTCTCTCTATCTCTATCTCTCTCTGTCTCTCTATCTTTCTATCTCTCTCTGTCTCCCTCTCTGTCTCTATCTCTTTCTCTCTCTCTCTGTCTCTCTGTCTCTTTCCCTCTCTCTCTCTGTCTCTCTATCTTTCTATCTCTCTCTGTCTCTGTCTCTCTGTCTCTCTCTCTCTATCTTTTTCTCTATCTCTCTCTCTGCCTCTCTTTCTCTCTATCTCTCTCTGTGTCTCCCTTTTTGTCTCTATCTCTTTCTGTCTCTCTCTCTCTGTCTCTCTATCTCTCTCTTTCTCTCTGTCTCCATCTCTCTCTCTGTCTCTCTATCTCTCTATCTTTCTAACTCTCTCTCTCTCTCTCTCTCTCTCTCTCTCTCTCTCTCTCTCTCTCCTCTCTCTGTCTCTGTCTCTCTATCTCTCTATCTTTCTCTCTCTTCTCTCTCTCTCTCTCTCTCTGTCTCTCTCTGTCTCTGTCTCTCTCTGTCTCTCTATCTTTCTATCTCTGTCTCCCTCTCTGTCTCTATCTCTTTCTGTCTCTGTCTCTTTCTCTCTCTCTCTGTCTCTCTACCTTTCTATCTCTCTCTCTGTCTCCCTTTTTGTCTCTATCTCTTTCTGTCTCTCTCTCTGTCTCTCTATCTCTCTCTCTTTCTCTGTCTCCGTCTCTCTCTCTCTCTCTCTCTCTCTCTCTCTCTCTCTCTCTCTCTCTCTCTCTCTCTGTCTCTGTCTCTGTCTCTCTCTGTCTCTCTATCTTTATCTCTCTCTCTGTCTCCCTCTTTGTCTCTCTCTCTCTCTCCCTGTCTCTCTCTCTGTCTCTGTCTCTTTTGTATCACACAATACATAGAAACTTGCAGACTGTCAGAGTGGGGAGAGTCCTCAGAGATGGGGGGTACTTCAGAACCCAAAATACTAGGGCCAGAAGGACCATAACATAGAGGATGTCTGAGCTGGGAAGACCTTAGAATGCAGTATGTCAGAACTAGAGCAAAATATTGGAGCCAGAAGGACCTTAGAACATGGACTGTCTGAGCAGGGAGGACCTTAGAACCCAGAAGAGGGGATCTGGGAGGGAGCTATGAGGACGGCCCCCCAGCTTGCTTAGCATCGCTGGGCCAGTCCACCTGAACCAAACCCCGCTCTCAAGCAACATCCTTTCAGAGAATCCCAGACCTTCAGAGCTGGAAGGGGCTTCTGAGATTGTCCAACACAACTTGTATCTGAACAAACATCTCTGTAAACATACCCAGCAAACGGGCATCTTCTGTTGGCCCGAAACCCCACAGTGAGGGCAAGGGGGCCTGCTGACCCCCGGCAGTCCATTTCCATTTTTGGACTGAGGAATTTCCAATGACCAAGAATTTCCTCTTGACCTCTAGCCCAAGTTCACCTTGCTGCAACTTCCCCTCCTGATGCTCAGGTTTTGCTTTGGGGGCCAAGCAGAATAAGTCTGCCCATCTTTGTAGGCCAGCCCTTGGAGCCCTTGAGGTCAACACTCCTATCTCCCCTCTGTCCTCTCTTGTTCTTCAGCTCTTTTCACTGACCCCCATTTGGCCTGGACTTGGAATGCTTCATTGTCCTGGCCGCCCACTTCTGGACATTCTCCCATTTAGTCATTCCTCCGAAGCCCCACAAAGATGTCACAGAGAAGACAAAACACTTTTTTGCAGGGTGTACCATTTCCAGTTTTTCTTTGGACCCCAAAGATGCAGGTGGGTGTGGGACTGATACCCTCCTGAGGAGGCTCTCTAATTCAGCCTTTTAACAAGTATCTCTCACCTCCTCCCACTCCACAGCGGGGTCTAAACAGCCCCAGCCCCAGAGGTTCTTGACATCACTAAGACCTGGCCACCGTTGTCTTGGTCTCTCCTGTGGAGTGGGTCAAACTCAACTCAGTGTGCCAGGCCACTGGGCCTGGAGGCCTTGGGGGCACAGGTGACTGCTGCTTTCCTTCCACATCTCCTAGAAATGTTCAGTAAACATAGGCCATGGACCACGGAGTTGGTCTCCTGCTTCCCCCAAACCCAACTGTGACCCTGCACATTCTACTCACCTGGTCAGCACCAAAAGATGTGAGGTTAGCCTTGACTGAACTGATGCCCAGGGCCAGCAGCAGAAGCCCCCCGTACATAGTCGGGGCACAGTAGGGGCTGGGAGACTCCCTTTGGCAGTCCTCGGTGGGGCAGCCAGGCTGGATGATGGAGGAGGGCATCTCCCCACAGAAGGCCTTCCGGCCATCATAGAAGGCCGTGATGGGCAACAGACAGGAGGTGACCAAATAGAGAAAGAGGCTGGTGATGATGGTGGCATAACGGCCCAGGTAGACGTCTGCCAGCCACCCCCCAATGGGGGACAGGAGGTAGGAAGCCCCCAAAAAGACCAGCGCAGCCCGAGTTGCCTGTTCACCGTCCCAGTTGAAGTTGAAACTGTTGAGGTAGAGCACGAGGTTGGAGGAGATGGCAAAGAAGGCAGCTCGCTCCAGCATCTCAGCCAGGAGCACCGCAGTGCAGGCGGCCCGCCGCCGTCCCTGGACCACTCGGCCGCGGCTCCTCTGGCTGGGGCCCAGAAGGGGCCTCTGCTCCCCAGGCACTCCGTCCCCATCCATCACTCCACTGACTTCTTTCTAGCCTTTCATCCTTCAGTCTGGCTTTCTGCCCCTTCTCTGCCTCACCTTAAACACCTCTAACCAGCTTTTCTCTCTTCCCCTTCCTTCCCCTCTTCTTCCCACTCTTTCTTTCCCCCTGCTTCCCTTCTCCTCTCCTCTCTTCACCTTTCCCTTCCCCCACCTCCCTCTTCCCTCTTTTCTCCCTCCTCTCTTCTCGCACTCTTTCTGTCCTCCACCTGCTCCCCAAAGCTCTCCTTTCCGTTTCTGTTTCTCCCACCCAAATACTCACCCACCCACCTCTAGTCTAACAGTCCTTCTCAGGGGCTTTCTCTCTGCTCTGGGCCCAAGCCCACCCACTCGGTCTGTCTTCCTTCCTTCTCTGTCACCTCTTTCTTCTCCCCATCCCTGTAGCCCGGTCTAGATTCCCCCCTGGTCACTCCCCGGACTGTCTCTTGAGCTCTATGACTTTATGACCCTCTAGACTCTCTATCCCCGTGTTCTCCTCACTTCCCCTTTCTCTCCCAGACCACTATCATCACGTGATATTCTCTTACGAGAAATGAAAGTCGAAGACCAGCAGTGCTGTGCTATACAGCCTTCTAAATCCTTCCTGCCCAGCTTCCCCCTTCCTCCCCCACCCATTCCCCAGCTGCAAAGAGCTAGGAAGCCAAATTATCCTCATTCATTTTCATTTCTCCCCAAATCACCACCCCACACAATGAAAATGAGCAGGTATCCCTGGAATCCGAGGGCTCTGCTTCAGCCATTTGCTAGCTGTGTAACCTCAGGCATGTTTCTTCCCTTCTTGGGGCCTCAATTTCCCTATCTGTAAAATGGTGGGTTGGAACCCGATAATCTCTAACGCCCCTTTCAAATCCTATGCCCTGACTGTGTGTTTAGCCTTATGTTAGGCACTAAGAGGGGAGAGAGGAAATCAGGGAGCCGTGGGTTTCTCAAACTTTCTTTTTGAGGAAGAGTGTGGCGTAATGGAAAGAGGGTTAATTAAGAGAGAAGGAGCTAAGTTTGGCCCCTGCTGTCAAAGCTTTGTGATTTTGAGCAAATCGCTTCCTGTCTCTGATTTTTCAATTTCCTCCTTTGTGAAATAAGTGGGCACTGGGGAGGGCGGGAGGGCCCAGGTGATTGCTGAGATCCCAGGGCCAGGAAGATGAGTTGGAAGCTCTGGACCTGAGTCTCAGCTCTAGCACTTAGAAAAGCTGGGTGCTCCTGGGAGCCTGTTTCCTCACCTGTAAATGCAAAGGCACAGGGAGCTGTGAGGATCCAATGAGGTAGTGCACGTAAAATGCCATGTGAGTATTACAGGTCTGCCAGCTACTCAGAGCAAGGCTGGGTGCTCAAGCCGTGAGTTACAGAATCTCAGAACTGGAGGGTGGCAAAGGACCTCAGGGGCATCTAGCCCAACACACATACCAAAGGAATCACCTTTATCACATGATTACGAGTGGTTGGTCCTCCAGGAAGACCTCCAAAGGACCAGGAACCCACCCCCTATTCCAGGCAGCCCATTTTGGACAGCTCTCATTGTTAGGAGAGCAGGAGGTGGTGCAGTGGGTAGAGCACTGAGCCTGGAAGACTCGTCTTCCAGAGTTCAAATCTGGCCTCAAAAGTTTACTAGCTGCATGACCCCAGGCAATTCACTTCACCCTCTTTGCCTCAGTTTCCTCATCTGTAAAATGAACTGGAGAAGGAATTGGCAAACCAGGATCTTTGCCAAGAAAACCCCAAAAGGGGTCACCAAAAGTCTGAACCCAACTGAAAAATGATTCAACAACAAACATTTAGAAGTTTTCCCTGACATTCTGCCTGAACTGGTCATCTTGTGATGTTCATCCATTCCTCCTGGTTCCATCCCCTGGAACTGAGGACAGAATACATCTGATCCTCCTCCCTATAGCAGCCCTTCAAATATTTAAAGGCAACCATCTTATTCCTCCCCTTCTCCATTCCCCCACCCCAGACTTTTCTTCTGCAGGTTAAACATGCCTGGTTCCTTTAACAGGGCATCCTGGTCACCCTCTTTGGTGTCTCTCCATCGCATTGATGTCCTTAAGCTGTAGTACCTGTTTAGGGAGAGAATACTGGTCACACATAAGACAATATCTCCAGAAGGGTCTTACTTCCAGCTGCTCCTTTAATGGCTTCAAATCAGTCCCATCCCGTTAGTCTCAGCCTCAGTTTCCTCCCCAGTAAATTAAGAAGGTTGGACTGGACAATCCCTAAAGTCCCATCCAGCCCTAAAGCCTCTGATGCTATGGCAGGAAGATATTCATTTCAATAGCTATTACTAGGTGCTCTTCGCAGGGCTTCTAGGCTCCCTACAGAAGGGGAAACAAGATGAAACATCCTTGTATCCCCCGGAGTGCCTTGTGCAAAAAAGCCTTTAATCAGTATTTATTGACTTGAATGAGGTGGGGGAGGAGGGGTTGGGAATAAGCATTTCTTAAGTACCTTTTACACACCAGGTACTGTGCTTTACAAGTGTGATCTCATTTCAATGAGATACCATGTCTAGGACAGTGTACAGAAAAAGTCACTGGATTTGGTGTCCAAAGACCAGGGTAGTATCCTGGGCTTGTGACTTATCAATTCTGCAACATTGGGTAAGTTACTCTCTGCGCCTCAGTTACCTTCTTTGTAAAACGTTGCTGCTGAGTTGTTTCAGGCATGTCCGACCCTCCATGACCCCATTTGGGGTTTTCTTGGCAAAGATACTGGAGTGGTTTGCCATTTCCTTCTCCAGCTTATTTTAGAGGAAGAAACTGGGGCAAACAGGGTTCAGTGACTTGCCCAAGGTTATACACTTACTGGTAAGTGTCTAAGGTCTGATTTGAACTCAGATCCTCCTCTTTCCAGGGCTTGTGCTTTATCTATTGCAGCGTCATCTAGCGGCCAATCTTTGTAAAATGAGGGAATTCCCTTAGGAAACCTCTCTTAGGTTTCTTCCAGTTCTTCTTCTTCTTCCTCCTTCTTCTAGAACTCTTCCAGTTCTAAATCCTAGGATCCTGTGAATTGAGTTGATGATGAGTAAGAAACAAGTTCAGTCCTCAAGTAGTTCTGCTGGAGAGACAAGACAAGGACATAAATAATGACCACTCAAGGCAATTCAACTAGTATTCATTAAACACATCAATGTTCCAGGAACATACAAAGATAAAAATGAAACAGTCCCTTGCCCTCAAAGAACAAATGAATGATAAAGCATTTATTAAGCACTCCCTGTGTGCCAAGCCCTGTGCTAAGAGCCTAGGACACAGATACAAAACTGAGCCTCTGCTCCAAGGATTTTACTTTCTAATCAAGAAAGACATCACCTGGAGGAGAGAGTAGTGGCCTGAATGGGGTGTTTTGGTCTAGGAAGCCACAGGAATATGTGACTGGAGTCCTAGGGGGGTAGATTGACATGCTTTTCCCGAGAGCAATCATGATAGTTGGCATTTATATAGCATATTAAGGTTTGCAAAGTGCTTTACAAATACATCATTTGATCTTCACAACAACACTGGGAGTAGGTGCTTTTATTATCCCCATTTTACAGATGAGAAAACTGAGGCTTAGAGGGCAGATAAGTGACTTGCCCAGAGACACACAGCTAGTAAATGTCTGAGGTAGGATTCAAACCCAAGTCTTCCTGACTCCAAGACCAGCACTCCTAGTAATGGTAGTATTGATTTGATTATGGATGCAGGGCTTGAAAGGGGTGAAAAAGAGGGTTGTCCTGAATAAGGCAGGGAAGCCGGCAAGAGGCTGTAAAAGGGAGCTGATTGTGGTGGGGGGAGGGAAGAATAGAACTTGTGTCTAAATGAACATGGTAGCTATGTGCATATTCTATATTGAGAAAGGAGAGAATCACAGAAGACTTCCTAAAGGAATCCAAGGATTCAGAGAGGAGGGAATCCCAGTCTGGCAAGTACAGCCTAGTGACAGATGGAGTGCTGGGTCTGGGGAGCATCGAGTCCTAAGGAGAATAGCATGAGAGAGAACAGGGCCAGCCTGGAAAGGGACATAAATGCCAACCAGGAGTTCACTCAGTCATGTGGGTCATGGAGAGCCGTGGAACGATTTTGGGTAGGAGAGTGAAGTGCCTTAGGAAGCTTATTTTGGCAGGTGCTCAGAGGGTGGACGAGAGAAGGGAGGAGGGGAGAGAGAAGAGGCAGATAAGAGGCTGTTATAGTCCAGGCAAGAGGTGATCAGAATGGCCATGTGAGGGTAGGAAAGGGGATGGCTGTAGGGGGTGTATGGGGCGAGATGGACAAAACCTGATGACTGCTGGCTATGAGGGTACAGGGAAGGGAAGAGACAAGGATGACTGGGGGTTATTGATTTGGGGGCTGGGAGTATCATGGGATCATGGACTCAAAGGCCAAGTCCAACCCCCTCTTTTTAGGGATGAAAAAACAGCCCCAGGAGTGTAAGAGACTTGCCCAAGGTTAGACAGGTAGTAAGTGGAAGGGCCAAGATTTGAACCCAGGTTCTCTGGCTTCTAAAACAGTTCTCTATCCAGTACACCATGGATAGGGGAGCCTTCATCAGAAACAGGGGAGTTTGGCAGAGATTGCTATCCTGGGACACTGGAAGTCTAGGGGTACCTTGGAGTTTAATGAATTGAGTGAAATGAGTTTGGTTTCAGATGTGTTAAGTTTGAGATATCTGCAGGATCTCTAGTTTAGAATGTCTAGTAGGCAGTCGACAATGAAAGAATGGGATTCAGGAGAGAGGCTACGGTTGGATCCATAGATCTGGGAGTCATCTGAATAAAGACCTCCTTGGGAGTGGATGAACTCACTGAAAGAGTGTATACTGAGAGAGAAGACTGCTAAGGAGGAAGCTGTCGGATACGACACCAGTTAGGGGTTTGGATATGGGTGACGATCGGGCAAAGGAGACTGAATGGGAGTGGTAGAGTCATGAAAACCCATACATAGAGTACCCAGAAGGAGGGAGTGGTCAGTTACATCCAATGCTGCAGCGAGTTCAAGAAGAAAGAGTACTGAGAAAAGACCCCTGGACTTGTATTGAAGAGGTTGTTGTGAGACACCAATGTCAGCTGAGCGATGAGGTCCCAGTTTTCCAGGTGTGGTGGTGGGGGCAGGCACTGATGATGCCAAGGTCATCTGCTGCATCCCAGCCATCTTGACTTTTGTCT